TTCTTTCATTTTAAACAATGCATATGGAGAAACCTTTGTGTAAGTTTATTTTAATCATAATAAGTTAAATGGCTTTCTTTTATGGTATGTTTAATATTTTAATTTTTTCTTGCAGGAATTACACTTGAAAAAAGAATTTCTTGAAAATGATATTAGTCGTCGTTCAATGAAAAATTTAGCAGCATTAGCTTATATTCCATCACAAAATGTTATCGAAGAATTTGTTCGAATAAAAGAAAATGCGTCAGATGTATTAGATGGTAAGAAGATGTTTGCATAATTTTTTAAAGACTTAATATAAAAATTTTAAATTAAAAAAAATATTTTACGCGTAAGAGTCGTGCGCTAAAATGTCGATGCGCGTAAGTGTCGTCGCGCTCAGGTGCCGTACGCTCAAGTGTCGGCGCGCAAGTGTCACGCGCGCAAACGTCGTACAACCCTCGCTAGTGCCTTACAAGAAAACACGATGATTCACATTCTCTCTTCATCTCTGATGTAAATATTTTCTCAACGTGACACAGACATTGACAATATTGAATCTATATTACAATCAAATTGAAGAAATTGGAGCACAACATTTCGCTGATGCTTTACGAAGAAACACGGTAATCGTGCAAATCTTATCATCATAATCTTCGACCTACTTTCATTCATATAGACACTCATTAAATTGGATCTAAAAGCAAACCAGACCGGCTACTGCAATGCTGTACAAATAGCAACACAAATACAAAACGACAAAGTGATCGTAAATTGAACTTCCATACTTTCTCATGCATAAATTCTTCCCTACTCGTAGAAACTAATAACACTGAACGTGTCAGACAAAAACCTTGGAGAAAAAGAGATAGAACATCTTGTATATGCCTTAAAAGAAAACAATGTAAACCGGATTCTTTTTTTCGCTCAGTAATATGTATTTATTGAACATATTGCTGATGCGTTGCGATACAACAATGTGATTTTCATTCTTACTTTAACTCTTCTGTATCAATGTTATGCTTTACACACAGACACTAACTTCGCTGATACTTTACCATAATAAAATTGAATGTTAAGAGGCTCAACATTTGACTGATGCATTAAAACATAGTAAAGTGACTTTCATTCATTTTTGCATCTGTCGAATATCAAATTTCTAAATTGATCAGAGACACTTAGTTAAATTAATCTTTTTGGAAATAAGATCCGAGATACTGGAACACAATATTTTGCTGATGCCTTTGAAAAGAATATGATACCTTTCTTTTCATTTTATCCTGTTGTATACATATTCTTCTGTGTAAACAGGCACTCGTCGCGTTGTACCTTAATTATAATCAAATCGAACTTATTGGAGTAGAACGTCTTGCTGATCTCTTACGAAATAACAAAGTTACTCGAATCCTGTCTTCGTTTGTGCATATCGGTTTCTTGTATGTACACAGACGCTCATCACGCTGGAACTTGTCCGTAATCACATCGGAGACAAGGAAGCGCAACATCTAGCTGATGCCTTAAAAGAAAACACAGTAATTCAAATTCTCTTTTTATTTCTCTTATATGCATCGTCTTAACGTAACATAGACATTAACGACATTGAATCTTCGTTATAACAAAATCGGAAACAATGGAGCAAGACACCTCGTCAATGTCTTACTGAATAACACGGTACCTTGCATTCCTACTACATTGCGTTCATATACATTTTTTCTTTTACTTGCAGACTCTCAACGCACTGAATCTTTCAAAGAATGACATTAAAGAAAAAGGAGCCCGACATTTGGCTAATATTTTACGACAAAACAAGGTGACTCTCATTCTTTCTTCATATTTTTCCTATTCATTTGCTCGATTGTACGTAGACACTACAGAAAATTGATACTTGGGCGCGACGCGATTTTGTCGGTTGCTCTTTCGGGAGGAAAACTGAATGACAATCGAATTGAATAATGTTCGCCTTCAGTTCGAGCATGTTTGGGCTTTTATTCATTCATTGTTTTTTTATTGAATTTCTGATTGTGTAATGGACGTAACAGCTGCCACTTGATTCCATGTAACAGTATTGAATTGATGAGTGAATAAATGAAGGAAGGAACATATTGGCTACTCTATGTATTCGTAGGCGTGGCTCTGTAGCCATATTACCGAGAACCCAATTTATTTTCTTGTGAAATTGTATCAGCGAGGTAGTAAGTAAATAATTCATATGCATTCGACCGTGTAGGTGCTGGTGCGGCTGTGGGCGTAGAAGACAGAGATAGACACCCACACCCAAAAAATTTTTATGAATTCCTATTTTTTGTTCTTTTCTGTGTCAAAAATATAGACTGAAATATTAAAAAAGAAAGACAGTATTGAAATAGCCTTTAACATTTTTTTTTGCGATAGATGTTGTCTGTTTTAAGATCGAAATTTATGGAAGAGTTTGTAATCCGTGTTTGCACATTGGAAAACTTTTATTTAATGCATCCAATAAAACACTTTCATCAAAGTTAGTTGTTTTCATAATTGTTATTCTCAATTGTTTTATTTCTGTAGTCGATTTTGTTGGCAGATTTCTTCATCGAATTTCATGTAAGAATATTAAAAATGTTCCGCTACACTTATAATCTAGTCACTAAATTATTCTAATCGAATAATCAATATATAATTGGTTTTATTGTTCAAGTATGATTTTATTAGATATTCACAAGCTGTTCGATTAGTTAAGTTTACAGCTCAATTGAATAAAAAAGTGGATGTACGTGTAGTTGAAGAGAAGTCGGATAGCAATCCACACTCACATCCTGAGATTGGCTGATCAAAGTTAATTCTTTTTTCCTCGATAATCTATGTTTTCAGTTTGTAAATCGAATAGTATCGATTATATTTTGTTTTCATTATATTCTTTTTGATTAAGTTGTTTTCTTGTCGAAATATTTTCTACAAAGTAAAAGAACAATTTTGGTTTGATCAATAGAAGACTAAAATTCGATTTGACAAAAAAATAATCAGATCGAATATATGGTACAATGAATCAATTAGACAATCCTATTTATTTGATGAGAGTGTTTCGTTTGAAATTATCATTGTTTCATTTTCTGTTCATTTGAATGAAGAATGAACAATTTTCAGCTTAAGTCTTTAGTTCAATATTGATTCCATTGTGTGAAATCTCTAGTCGAAGCTGCATCGTGTATGGTTTCATTTTTAATAATATAAAATTCAGAACAGCGATTGACTCTTTAGCATGTTGAAGCTGAAACTTTTATTGTTTATAGCATCATGAAATCTTCCCGATTATTAATTTTCAGATTTCATTTCAATATTTATTCAATCGATCGATATTTCTATAGTGACAAATTTTGCGTCACGAAAACTTGTTACCGACTATCTCTACGCAGAATTGAAGGGAAAATAATCAAATTTATGACATCAAATAAAAAAGATAAATATTTTTATTGAAGAATTGTCAGAGAGAAGAATGATGACAATACTATTGATTTATAAAGATGAGAATGTGATGAGTTGAACACATGAACGATTTGAAGTGAAAGTTTGAAAAGGAGATTTTTCGATAAAGATGGCAATGAAAATAATAGACTCGATAGTGTTCCCAGTTTAAGAGTGCACTTCAAAAAAACAATATTCATTTCTACTCTATTCTTTCCTCTAAACGACGTTTATATGCAAAGACATGGCGTTGCGCAATCACAATAAAAAATATAATGACACACAAGTGTTTTTGAGTGAAAGCTTTGTAGTATTACAAAAAGTGTGACAATAATTTTTACATGCCTCAGCCAAGAAAGACTTTGTTCGTGTATTATGGTCATTTCATGATTCATTCTAGAAATGGCTCATCGAACATATTAGCATAATAACTGAACAGTATGAATCGAACTTGGGTGACACGATCTTCAGTCGTGTGTCTTCACCATTAGACTACTGAGACTTATGCTTTTGAGATTCGACTGAATTTTTAATCATGGATACCAATTGAAGCATAACGTGAGATAATAGACAGAGCACATAAAGTACAATCGTGCTTTATTCACATATCAGTCACTCAATATTTTCGTTTTCATATGAAGTAGAATGTAAGTATGCTTATGTGTTTGAGTGTGTGCTGTAGATGAAGAATAGAAAAACACCCACATCAATACTCCACATCCTAGAGTATATGGCACAGATTAATTAAAAATTTTCCAGATTATGAAATGACTCACACTCGACATTCAATTTATTATTGTTCTTGTAAATTAAACTACTTTTTATCATAGTAAACATTAAATATACTTTCGAACTTGAATATAGGTAATATTTTTGATATCATCAATTGAAAGAAGAAATATTAGTTCGACTTTAATGTCAAAGAATAGCTTGTAAAATTTCCAACTCCGGAATTTGTTGCTTTCATTTCTGAAAGGTAAAACTACATTAATTTAACATTTAACTTCTTCGATAGAAAGTCTTAACATTTTCAAGAAATTATAGACTTTGAATTGTAGAAAATCCAATCTTTTATTTCAAACACATATTTTGATTTTATATATTTTAAAATATGATAAAATATCAGCTTTCCAAGACTTTTATACTTGACGAAGATTACTCATGTGAAATAATGCTATTTCGTTTCAGTGTTGAATAATTATTAAATATATAAATCTTAATATCAATTATGCAAATACAACATTCATGATCATGTAATTAATCAAGAAAACAAATTCTCATTTTCTTATGAATGATTCTACCATTTGAAATCTTATATCTATCTATAGTTTATGTGATTTTAATTTATTCAACTAATTTATATTTTAGAATATTTAAATACATTAAAACAGATAAATATATGAAAAAGAAATGACATAATAATGCACAAAACAAAATGAAAATACAATAAATTGTGTTTAACATCTATGTTAGTTTTACCTTAAAAAGATTGTTGTAGTTATTGAAAGAATTCCTTGAATTATGTGTTATTGCTCATAGTCACATTTGATACTAAACGACGTAATATTTTCTTTTGAATTAATTGCATGANTAATGCAAAACTATGGTATGACACACATAAGCATACCATTGATGATTGGATAACACTAAAAAACAAATTAACGACCTACTTCAAACTTGTAACTGGTAGTGATCAATTTCAACTGGAACAAAAGCTCTACAATCGACGACGACAACCAAACGAGTTGGCAATTGATTATTATCACAGTGTCCTTAAACTCTGTTCAAAAGTTAATAAACTAATGGATGAAGAAACTCGACTCAAACATCTCACCAAAGGACTCAATCCAGCAGCTCAATTACACATGGATTTGAAGAAACCTGGTACTACTGAAGAGTTTTTTGAAGCTCTTATCAAGTACGACAAATGGCAAGAAGAAGAAAAATCCCAACGGAAAATTATGACATCGTCTGATCAGCGTAGAAATATATCAACAAGAACAATGCAACATTCTGTAATGCAACGAGAACAATATTCTACAAATCCAAGACAACAACACAATTATTCATCACAACAATATCAATCCCATTATCCAACACCTGGTCCAACTCAGATGCAATACAACCGCGACAAAAACTACAGTGGATGTTGGTCATGCGGTGCTATGGACCATTATCAATACAATTGTTCAAAAAACTACTAGGGGAAGTGCGTGATGGTCGCATTTCCTTTTCAAAATCACAACCATCACTTATAACAATTAGTACACTTGTCAATGGTAAACCAATTCACGCCATGGTTGATACAGGAGCAATTACATCACGCATCTCACAATCTGAACTGAATCATATTCCACACATAACAATTCAACCGATTCAAACAACGGCAACACTCGGTGATGGACAAACCAAAATAATGGTTAATAGTGTAGTCAAATTAAATGTCACCATCAATCATATTACCACCATCATTACAGTTCTTGTGGCCGAGTCATTAGGTGCTAATTTAATTCTCGGCATGGGCTGGTGTAACTCAAATTATGTGAACGTGAATATTGGTAAAAAACAAGTGGAGATCAATCACCCACAGCATGGAACTACAACAACACCATTCCTTGAAGTTGGCTCGGTCGAGGTTAGACTCGCGGAATGTATCACACTATTGCCATATCATGAACACATTGTCAAAATGCATGTGCCTATTTCTTCTGCTACTCTTGTCTCATTTACATCGGACTCGAAAAAGTGTACTAAATTAAATGTTCAATACCTGATGCTCTTGTTGAAATAAAAGATTTTTTCATTTTATATATGCGTTTATAACTCTAACAAATACGTCCATACAATGGCTGCTAATACACAACTGGGATCAATACATTATCAGTCAAATGATGAAATGATGTACAACATATTAAGCTCACCGAATTCATCAAGCATGACAGAACAAAGCGCACTTCTAAATTCAATACAAACAAATGAACAACACGTATCACCCAACGCATCATCATTGGATGATATTCTCCAAGAATTAGTGGCACACATTGATAACAAACATCACCGTAATGATTTTCTTAATATTCTTCGACAACATGGACGCGCATTTGACACGTCAAAGATGACCAGAGCAAATACAAAAAATACGTCATACCATTAATATAGGCGATCATCTACCCATAAGCGTTCGACCATATTACAAGACGGTTCAACAAAGAAAGGAAATACAGCAGGAAGTGGGAAAATTGCTCGATCAAGGCATCCTTCGACCATCCCACTCACCGTGGTCATCCCCAGTCTTGTTAAAGAAGAAGCCAGATGGTACCTATCGATTTTTGGTTGACTTTCGCCGACTCAACGCAATTACCAAGAAGGATTCTTACCCACAACCATCGGCTGAAGAACTTCTACACCGCCTCGCAGGGCATCGATACTTCACAAAACTCGACTTGAAATCTGGTTACTTTCAGATTCCGATAGATGAATCAGATATCCAGAAGACGGCTATAGTTACTCAAGATGGTCTATATGAATTTACAGTGCTAGCCCAAGGACTTATGAATGCTCCGCCTACATTCCAGCGGGTGATGAATGAGTTACTAGCAAACGGACGATGGGATTATGTGGTCGTTTATTTAGATGATATTGTCATCTTTTCAAAAACAATTGAACAGCACAAACAACATGTGGCCGACGTTATCTCAACACTCCACAAAGCCAATTTTCAAGTGTCACCGCGCAAGTGTTCAATTGCCGTCGAGAAAATTGAATTCTTAAGCCACATCGTTACATGTGACAAAGTTGAACCATCACCAGACAAAATTAAAGCAATTGTTGATATTGTCCCACCAAAAACTCTTTCACAAGCCAACAAATTTATCGGTAAAGTTGGTTATTATCGTAAATTTATTCGTGATTTTGCAAAAATTGCCGTGCCGATACACAAGGTCACCAATAAGACCCGAACAAAAAAACATGAATTCCATTGGGACCCAACACAGCAAGATGCTTTTGACAAGTTTAAATCAATACTGACAACTGCACCGCTGTTCCTCAACTTTCCTGACTGATCAGTACCATTTATCTTATCTACAGATGCAAGTAATTTAAGAATTGCTGGAATACTTAAGCAAAACACATCGGATGGTCTTAAGATTTGCTACTACCAATCAAGATTACTGAACAATACTGAAAGTCGATATTCAACCACAGAACGGTAAGCGCTAGCNCCCATTTTCTGGATCCAATTCACAAGAGGTTTCAGACTGGATCGAAGATTTCGACGATAAGTGTGATCAACTCCAACTAGGAGATGTTCAACGTTTATCCGTGGCTATTAATCTTCTCACAGGTAATGCAAAACTATGGTATGACACACATAAGCATACCATTGATGATTGGATAACACTAAAAAACAAATTAACGACCTACTTCAAACTTGTAACTGGTATTGATCAATTTCAACTGGAACAAAAGCTCTACAATCGACGACGACAACCAAACGAGTTGGCAATTGATTATTGTCAGTGTTCTTAAACTCTGTTCAAAAGTTAATAAACTAATGGATGAAGAAACTCGACTCAAACATCTCACCAAAGGACTCAACTCAGCAGCTCAATTACACATGGATTTGAAGAAACGTGGTACTACTGAAGAGTTTTTTGAAGCTCTTATCAAGTACGAGAAATGGCAAGAAGAAGAAAAATCCCAACGGAAAATTATGACATCGTCTGATCAGCATAGAAATATATCAAAAAGAACAATGCAACATTCTGTAATGCAACGAGAACAATATTCTACAAATCCAAGACAACAACACAACTATTCATCACAACAATATCAATCCCATTATCCAACACCTGGTCCAACTCAGATGCAATACAACCGCAACAAAAACTACAGTGGATGTTGGTCATGCGGTGCTATGGACCATTATCAATATAATTGTCCAAAAAAGTACTAGGGGAAGTGCGTGATGGTCGCATTTCCTTTTCAAAATCACAACCATCACTTATAACAATTAGTACACTTGTCAATGGTAAACCAATTCACGCCTTGCTTGATACAGGAGCAACTACATCACTCATCTCACAATCTGAACTGAATCATATTCCACACATAACAATTCAGCCGATTCAAACAACGGCAACACTCGGTGATGGACAAACCAAAATAATGGTTAATAGTGTAGTCAAATCAAATGTCACCATCAATCATATTACCACCATCATTACAGCTCTTGTGGCCGAGTCATTAGGTGCTAATTTAATTCTCGGCATGGACTGATGTAACTCAAATTATGTGAACGTGAATATTGGTAAAAAACAAGTGGAGATCAATCACCCACAGCATGGAACTACAACAACACCATTCCTTGAAGTTGGCTCGGTCGAGGTTAGACTCGCGGTATGTATCACACTATTGCCATATCATGAATACATTGTCAAAATGCATGTGCCTATTTCTTCTGCTACTCTTGTCTCATTTACATCGGACTCGAAAAAGTGTACTAAATTAAATGTTCAGTATCTGATGCTCTTGTTGAAATAAAAGATTTTTCATTTTATATGTGCGTTTATAACTCTAACAAATACGTCCATACAATGGCTGCTAATGCGCAACTGGGATCAATACATTATCAGTCAAATGATGAAATGATGTACAACATATTAAACTCACCGAATCCATCAAGCATGACAGAACAAAGCGCACTTCTAAATTCAATACAAACAAATGAACAACACGAATCACCCAGCACATCATCATTGGACGATGTTCTCCAAGAATTAGTGGCACACATTGAAAACAAACATCACCGTAATGATTTTCTTAATATTCTTCGACAAAATGAACGCGCATTTGACACGTCAAAGATGACCAGAGCAAATACAAAAATTCGTCATACCATTAATACAAGCGATCATCTACCCATAAGCGTTCGACCATATTGCAAGACGGTCCAACAAAGAAAGGAAATACAGCAGGAAGTGGGAAAATTGCTCGATCAAGGCATCCTTCGACTATCCCACTCACCGTGGTCATCCCCAGTCTTGTTAAAGAAGAAGCCAGATGGTACCTATCGATTTTTGTTTGACTTTCGCCGACTCAACGCAATTACCAAGAAGGATTCTTACCCACAACCATCGGCTGAAGAACTTCTACACCGCCTCGTAGGGCATCGATACTTCACAAAACTCGACTTGAAATCTGGTTATTTTCAGATTCCGATAGATGAATTAGATATCCAGAAGACGGCTATAGTTACTCAAGATGGTCTATATGAATTTACAGTGCTAGCCCAAGGACTTATGAATTCTCCGCCTACATCCCAGCTGGTGATGAATGAGTTACTAGCAAACGGACGATGGGATTATGTGGTCGTCTATTTAGATGATATTGTCATCTTTTCAAAAACAACTGAACAGCACAAACAACATGTGACCGACGTTATCTCAACACTCCACAAAGCCAATTTTCAAGTGTCACCGCGCAAGTGTTCAATTACCATCGAGAAAAGTGAATTCTTAAGCCACATCGTTACATGTGACAAAGTTGAACCATCACCAGACAAAATTAAAGCAATTGTTGATATTGTCCCACCAAAAACTCTTGCACAAGCCAACAAATTTATCGGTAAAGTTGGTTATTATCGTAAATTTATTCGTGATTTTGCAAAAATTGCCGCGCCGATACACAAGGTTACCAACAAGACCCGAACAAAAAAACACGAATTCCATTGGGGCCCAACACAGCAAGATGCTTTTGACAAGTTTAAGTCAATACTGACAACTGCACCGCTGTTCCTCAACTTTCTTGACAGATCAGTACCATTCATCTTATCTACAGATGCAAGTAATTTAAGAATTGCTGGAATACTTAAGCAAAACACATCTGATGGTCTCAAGATTTGCTACTACAAATCAAGATTACTGAACAATACTGAAAGTCGATATTCAACCACAGAACGGGAAGCTCTAGCAATTTACTGGTGTCTCACAGAATTGCGGAGTTTCATTGGAGATTCCGATATCACTATCGAAACAGATCACAAACCACTTGTCAACATGCATAAGAAAAACAATTACGGAAACAAAATAATAGGTAATTGGCTCATATCTCTACAAGATTTAATACCACAAATTACAGAGATTAAATACCGCCGGGGCATCAACAATATTGGACGTGATTATCTTACTCGATATGAAACAGTCGACATGAATAATCACAACCAGTCCCTATCAGCTATAACTCGATCAATGACAAAACAGGCAGTCTCGAGTCCTCTAACACCGCCAAGGATGCCAGAACAAAATCCGACCACACCACTGCCTCTAGGTGTATCGACACCAATGATAGATTTTACTTTGGAAAATATCAAAACTGAGCAAGATAAAGATATTAATATTCAACTCATTATCGCAGATATTCATGCTCAAAAGAAAAAGGACAACTTTATTCTTTACAACAAAATTTTAATTCGTTTTGTGGTCAAGAGAAAGCATGGCACCAAGAACAAAGTTTCATACGTACCATCATCAATGATTCACGCCGTACTGGAAGCATTTCATGATCATCCAATGAGTGGGCATTTTGGAGTAAAACGCACGTTATATAAAATTCGTACTCGGTTTTGGTGGCCAAATATGCGTAAATCAATTGAGCATTACATCTCATCTTGNCTCGCATTCTTTTGTTTTCTATATGAAAATCTGAAAATTTTCCCCCATATTAAAAATATAAGTTTTTTGTACATTCTTTACATAGTTTTTAGTAAATGTACCAAAAGGATTTAATAGCTTTTAATATAGGCAATTTTGTAGAACTCCAGGAGCTCTATCAAACCATATCAAAATATCAAAGCAAAGATGCTTCTCGATTTTTGAATTACTCATACCTTACTAAAACTACTAAAAGTTACAACAACAATATCATTTTGTCTTTTTTATGTCATTTTTTTTCTTAGTATTGAAGTTTGTTTGTTTTTATTGTATTTTGTATTCAAGGGTTTTTATATTAAATACGTATATATATATAGATAGTACTCGACCTTTACTATTCAGGGATACAAAAGAAATTTTAATTATATTGGACTGTTATAATGCACGACTCGAAACAAAAAAGTGGGGCGAAACTTTTGACCTGCACTGTAGACAGAGTGTGTGCTCAAAAAAAAATGGTACACTCCCTACTGAGTTACTATTTAATTAGAGTTTAAGGGTTGAATAAATTGTCATTTGTAACGACAATTATCAACGACGATTTGTTTCCGACACATTTCTTGTGTCATATTCTCATAGTAATTAATGCAATTAATATACTGCAGAATACAGTATATGGCTGAGACATACAATTACTTTGAAATATGATTAGATTTTTTAAAAATATTTTAATGTAGATAACTCGAATATTTTTTCTTTCATAAACTTTTTCAGTAATTTGAATCATTTATAACAGATATAAAGTACATTAACTTTAACTAAAACGCCGGGCCGGGCGGCCCGGCAAAAAACTTGGCCCGCCCGGCCCAACAATTTTTACCGATTGGCCCGCCCGGCCCGAAAGAAAAGCTTCGTTGGGCCGGGCCGAGCCGGGCTCGGGCCGGGCTGGTCCACTGGGCCGGGTGGCCCGTTTCGAGCCCTGTTACACAGTTTTTCCTGAGATCATTGATTTCAGCCAACTGACCCAGGATCATCCAGAGAAGCAGCTAGGCTAGGGTAATTCATTAAGTTGAATCCAATGATGATATCTTTTTTAGGTTCAAAATAGTCTGATCCTGTTACCTCAATAATCTCTCAAGTTTCACAATCAGTCTTCATGTAATGAAGGAGTCGACGTTTTTCATATAGTGCGGTAACATGGTCAGATCAATTCGAGTCGGAAAATACATATCATCATTCGACTCAAAAACACTGAATGACCCCTGTCTAGTTGTTTTTTCGCCTTATTACGTGTAAATTGACTGAAATGGGAGGGGGTGGGAGTCTCAGGAAAAAACTTACAAACTTTTGAACGACATAAGCTAGGAATGTTGATCTTGTGCAGGTCTCAAGAGAAGAATTTTTCGATACAGTTTGATGGCTTCGAGTCTTCTCTCTTGAACGGTGAAAACTGCATGTCTGTATGATATTCGTATCAACAGTTATTCAAAAAACGATAAAACACATTATATTTTAAAATGGATTGAATTCAAAAGTATAAAAATATATCGAAGTCGAAACGAATTAAAAAAATACTGTTTTTTAACAATATTCTTCTTAGTATAAACACAAAATCTTCAATGAACTTGTAAAAATTATTTGTTCACTTATACTGTTCTTTGCTTAGTCTAGTTCCATCAACAACAGACTGGTTTTCGTCAGTGAATAACCGAACAATAGACAAAACTCAAAGTAAAACAACAATGTATTGAAACTAATCCTATCATTTAATTATATATTTGTTTTTCTATCGTCGTCTAAGTAAATTTTATATTTATTTAACAATAATAAAAAATTAAATGAATTTTTCTATGACAATATATCATTTATATTATATTTATATCTCTAATATGAATATGAAAACGCTGTCTCTATGGTTATTGAATGATTACGTTTTTGACTTTTCGATTTTTTAGCTTCAACTATTGATAATAGCATGGCAAAATACTTTTCATCTTCATCGTGTAACAATAATAATAGCACATTCTATTCAATATAAGTACGCAAATAAATCTACTTTTTCGATCTATTGGATGTTAATTTCTCTATTGTAATTTTCTTTCTTTCTTTCTTTCTATGCGAATTCTTCTATGATAGAGAAAAGGATAAAAAAAAACGTAAACAACAAGTTTCTGACCATGTAATATTTCTTTTCGATCGAGGGTTAAACAACATGGATAGATACAAATGAAATAGAGAAAATATAGACGTCAATGCTGTTTTTATTGTGTTTGGTATCTTCGATATAAATAGATCGACGCATAGAATTTTTTTTATTTAATCTTTTATCGTTAGACATAATGAGTGAGCGTGGTCGTGCTCGTGGTCGTGGTCGTAGTCGTCCTGTAGTACCAGGCGAAGCAAGTAGTGAACCAAGTGGTGCTGCTGGTATCACTGCACCTACTAGTGAAGTAATTTTTCCATTATTAAATGTCTTCTATTAACTAATCATTTTATCATAAGGCACCAACTACATCAGCTTTAGCTTCATTAGTACCAACACCTACTGTTCCTCCAGCTAGTGAAACACCAACATCTGAATGGTCAACAACAGAAGCTGCACCAGCCGTACAACAAAGTGCAATACGTCGAATTGGTGGCGGTGGTACAATGAGTATTCCTCGAGGTCGTGGTCTTGACAAATTAGCTCCACATATGGCTGGAATGTCAATTGGTGAACATCGTGAAGGTCGTTCTCGTGGACCACCAATACATGATGAATCTCAAAGACGTGTTGTTGATCCTACACGTGTTAGTTTTCGTGAACCAGGAACAGAAAAACAAGGAACATCAGGAGAAATTATTGCATTAATTGCAAATTATGTTCGAATATTATCTGCACCACAATGGTTACTTTATCAATATCATGTTACATTTATACCAGATAATATTGATTCTAGAAAAACACGGCGAGAATTACTTGGTTGTTTTTTCTTTTAATCTACAGTTTTTAATATTAGATTTTTTTTGCTTTTTTTTTAGCACAACATAAAGGTGTTTTACAAGATGTTGCATTTGATGGACAAACTTTATATTCATTTAATGATCTTGGTGATGTGAGTGTTGATTGATTAAATAAAAAAAAGATTGATTTTATTTTCTATTAGGATCATGAAACAAAATCATTTCATGAACCTACTAGTCAAGATATAACTATTCAATTACATAAAGTAGCTGTACAAGGTCCTGAATCACCGAATTTTTTCCATTTATCGAATTTAATTATGAGAAAGTAAATGAGAAAGAAAAATCTAAATTTTTAAAATTTTTATTTTTTATTTATAAAGATTATTGGAATTAGCTGGCATGAGAATGATTGGTCGATCATATTATCAATTTGATAAAAAAATTGATATCGATCGATTTAATTTAACTTTATTTCCAGGTTTTGAAACAGCTATTAATGTTTATGAAGGTGTTTTAATGATGAATGTTGATTTATCACATAAAGTGATTAATAATGTTAGTATTTATCAACGTTTACAAAATATTTTTGCACAATTTCAAGAATATAAACTTGCACAAGATACAGCAATGCGAGAATTAGTTGGACAAATTGTTATTACAACGTAAGTACAAAAAACAAATTTTCTTTTTTCTTAAGAATATTAAAATGGTTTTACTTTATAAAAATAGATACAATCATAAAACATATAAAATTGATGATATTGCATGGGATAAAACACCTCAAATTACATTTTCAAGACGTGATGGAAAAGATATATCATTAATTGATTATTATCAAGAAGTTTGAATAAAGAGAAATTTTTTAATTTTTAAATAAAATTTCTTTTTTGTTTTTATTTTAGCGTTATCAATTACAAATAGTTGACCATACACAACCATTACTTGTATCAAAACCATCACGACGAAATCGACGAGCTGGAATTACAGGACCAATTTTATTAATTCCAGAATTTTGTCGTGAAACGGGTACAAGAATTTATATAGAAAAAGATTTTTTATTTTAATAATTTCATGTTTATTTCAGGTATTTCGGATTCAATGCGAAATGATTTTAATCTTATGAAAGAATTGGCTTCATATACACATATTGAACCAACTCCTCGATATCAATCATTGATCGATATGGTTAACACAATTAATACGTATGATAGAAATATAAAGAATTGAAAATATTATTTCGATTTTATCTTCTTAGATCACCTCGTTGTCGTCAATATATGTCAAAATGGAATTTACGATTGGACGATAATTTAGTTGAACTGGAAGCTCGTACCCTTGAACCGGAAACAATTAATTATAGTGATCGCTCAGTTCGATATAAACAACAAGAAGCTGATTGGAGTCGTGATGGTAAGAGAAGATAAACATGTTTGCAGCCGTCTAAGTTTAATAAACAGTTTTTCTTTCTCTTAAAACTTAATCTCTTTTTAAGTAAGGATTCAACAGTATTGGTAATCTTATCAGGGCCGATTAAGAGAGAATGTTAACAATATTTTTCTGCGTTTGCTTGAACACTGATACTTATTTACACAGACTATTATACAAAATTATAAATTATTGCGAACCTACAATTTTCACTATTCAAGAGAGAAGATCCAAGACCATCGAAGTCTATCGAGATTCGATTTATCAACTATAACCTATTAAGGCAGTTCTTGGTGGAGACTTTTGTAAACAGTATTCTAAACCTAGTTTCCATTAGATTTAGAATTTCAATACGACTAATCGATAGAAAAAGCTCTTCTCTTTCAATCTACGCAAGCCAGCCATTCCTAGCTTGTTTCATTCGAGAGTTATAGGGATTTTTCTGAGATCCCAGATTTCAGTCAATTCATGCATAATCAGCCGGAAAATAAGCTAGAAAGGTTTAATTCAATTTGTTGCGTCGAATGGTCATATTTATTTTTAGGTTCAAAGTGATCTAACACTTGTCTTAATATTTCTGAAACTCCACAGTCAGCCTCTATGTAATGACGGAGTCAACAAGTCGCAAATATTGAAATAAAAGTGTCAACATTCGACTCAGCATGATGAACTATTCCTGTCTAGCTACTTTTCCTAGTGATCACAGATTAGTTGGCTGAAATCGGTGATCTCAGGAAGAGTCGTATAACTCTCGAATAAAACTAGCAGCGAATGTCAACCTTGCGTAGATGAAAAGAGAAGCGTTTTTTCTATAGATTAGTCTATTCTATTGGTGATCAATCAAATTTCGATATATATATCTCAATGGTTCTGGGTCTTCCCTATTAAATAGTGAAAACTGTAGGTCTCTATAGTATTTCTATCAAAAGTGATTCAAAATAGAGTAAAGCACATTATATTTTCAAATCGACAGTAAATTTTTTGGTAATTTCCTACAACATAGTAGTATACATTGTATCTTAATGGTTAACACAGCAAGCATTAACAGAACAAACTGATACTAATAGATTTCTACGTTTAGCCAAAACAGAAAGTAAAGTTTCTATTTCTTAGATTTGCCTTCAATAAATCATTGATATGATGATCTTAATTTGTTTTTTTTATTTAGGTCGTGGTTGTCGTCATTTAAAACCTGGTCATTTGGATAAATGGCTTGTAGTTTATGAAGGAAAACAAAAACCTATTGCTAATGAACTTATTAATACACTCTATAATGTGTGCACACCAATGGTAACATTTCTTTTTCTTTGCTCGGAAGACTTTTAATTTATTTATTTATCGCTTAGGGTATGCGCGTAGAATATCCTGAAATGTAAGTTTGAATAATAAAATAAGATAAACTTGTTTTTATTATTATTTAAATAGTGCTGAACTACAAAATGATCGACCAGAAACATATTTAAAAGCATTAGAACAATATTGTCTTAATCAACAATATAATCTTGTTCTCTGTGTATTAAGTAATAATCGAAAAGATCGTTATGATGCATTAAAAAAATTCTTATGTATGGATACAGCTGTTCCATCACAAGTAATAATTTTATCATAAGGAAACTTTGTGAAGAAAAAAACATGAAGAAGTTTTTATTTAGATGGTACTTTTAAAAACTTTAAATAAACGTGGTCAATTAATGTCAGTTGCCACAAAAATTGGTATTCAAATATCAGCTAAATTAGGTGGAGAGATTTGGTCCGTTTCGATTCCAGTAAGAAGAAAATCTATTCTTTCATTTGTTTTTTCAAATTCTTCAATCCTTGATTTGTTTTTGTTTATAGTCAAAAAGTTTGATGATTATTGGTATTGATTCATATCATGATAAAAAACGTAAACAAGTATCAATAGCTGCATTTGTTGCAACAACAAATCCTCAATGTACATCATATTATTCACGCATTATTATGCAAACAACAACACAAGAGTTAGTTGATGGTATAAGTGTTTGTATTCGAGGTACATTTTAGAAGATGATATACAATTATTTTCATATATATATATATATTGTTTTGATATTTAGATGCATTAAAAGCATTTTTTATGCAAAATAATACGATGCCTGAACGAATTATTATTTACCGTGATGGTGTTGGTGATGGACAACTTCAAGCTGTTTATGAACATGAATTACCACAAATTGAAGAAACATTTAATAAAGTACAAGAAGGTTATTCGTAAGTAAAAATGAAATTTCAATTTCTCTTTTTGAAGTTTTAATTAACTAAATTTTTCCTGAAGACCTAAATGGGCTATGATTATTGTTAAAAAACGTGGTTGCTCAAGATTTTTTGCTAAAAATACTCATCAATTATACAATCCACCACCAGGAACGATAATTGATCATACAATTACACATCAAAATTGGTTTGATTTTTATCTTATTTCACAATGTGCTAGACAAGGTACAGCAGCACCGACACATTTCAATGTTATTTGGGGTAAACAAATAGAATTTTCGTTTGTTTTTTCTTCATAAAATTTCCAATTTTAGATCGAACTACATTTAAAGTAGATCATATTCAACGGCTTACATTTAAATTGTAAGTAAAAACCTATATTATATTCTGAAACATGATCTAAAAGGAGTGTTGAAGTATAAGGGTGAAAATTTGGATTCCCCTCTCACAGACCGTAACACACGCTACTCGGAGATCATCACAGACTATGACCAAAACAAGAAGAATACCCCGTTCTTCGACTATATTACCGTATAGAATGCTGTCGAGAGACAGTTTCGAAAGTCCAGTCTTTTTCTTACAACTATTACAAGCTGCAACTCTGAACTGATTGTCGGCCTGACACAGAGTTCTTTCACTAAATCACTTGAGCTCCCCACACACACTAACTAACCAGATCCTAGCCACAAGCGTCGGTATATGCCACAAAACAGTCAGTATGCTATCATACAGATGATCCGAGATAGAGAGTCGTTAGTGCCTTGTCCAAGATCATTCCATGTCTAATGATGCCCACGCTCAAATACAGTACTTTAATAGTACATGTCGAACAACTTAATTACTCAGCTATAACGGCTTAGACTGTGGCAAGTGCCAACCAGAAATCATAACAAGCACTAATCAGAAACCATTTGCAGACCGTATAATAGGAACGTCTCATTATAATAAATGAAATACTTATTGCATTTCTGGAGGGTTAAGTAAAACGATGGGAAAGAAACCTGTCCCACCATAATCAGAATAAAATAATTCTCTGTGTGATTAGCAACAAAAGCTATATCGTACTTTCATATTTTAAACCCGCATGTATGACACTAACAGCTTTTTGTACTAAATAATTTATTTTTATTTAGATGTCATCTTTATTATAATTGGCCCGTAAGTGTTTTTAGAGTTTCATTTTAAAATATTTTACTTTTTTTTTTCTTTGCAGGGTACTATCCGAGTACCAATGGTTTGCCAATATGCTCATAAACTTGCATATCTTGTTGGTCAATCTCTTCATCAAGATTTTCATCATGATCTCTCAAATAAACTTTTCTATTTATAGACTTAATAGATCTTGCGTTTATCTTTGTTTTGCTTTGTTCGTTAAAACTATTTGATCATTTTGTTTAACAGATTAGCACTTGTTTTTGTTTTTTTTTGAAACGGCTGTGTTATTTTCTTCTTTGATTTTTCTCATTTCATCGTTTTGTGTGTTGCCATATAAGCATTAGTCAGTGTTTCATTTTATACATTATATGTTCATGCATCTTAAGATTTTCTCGTTGATATCTTTACGGCCTGTTTCTTTTTTTCATGTTTTGTTTCGTGAAGTAGTTTAAATAGATAAAGAAAAAAAAAGCTAAATATTAAACTTAACATAACAATAAACAAAAAAAGGGATCAGTTTGCGCAAGCAGTTTATTACAAACGCCTTATACCAAGGCACAATTCTGAACCGTGAAAAGGTCCACAAATCTCGAAGTATTTCATTTATAATATGAACTCGTTCTCTTTTTTGGTTTTGATATTTTGTGATTTTTTTTGCTGTTTTCCGATATTTTATGATTTTTTTGATATTTTATGCTTTTCTTGTTTCACGAATATTAAAACAATTTTAATACAATTCAGTAAATACCATGAAGTAACTGACTCGACATTTGCCGACCCCGTCAATAACAGAACATTACATGTATATAGAATGAAACAATTTGAGGTGACGCAATAACCAAAGTTAAGACGAGAACAGAAATGTTAACATAAGAATTTCGCAATCCTATTTGAATCTATGCAATTCAAAATAATTTTGTCCAATGTATAATTGATTAATCGTGTGATTTTTATAAGAAATCTATTGATGCATTCGTTCATGTAGTCTTATAGTCTATGAACAGATGGGAAAAACGACGATTTTTTCGAGTGCAGTGAAACTCAAAATGATTGGATGAATGTTTCACAGAAAATCAAGTTAAATTTTCTGATTTTGATTATATTTGAATCAGTCTCTGACCACGAAAGATTCTAGAGTTATTTGAAAAACTAGCGCCACATATAGTAGATTTTCGCAAATATCGCAAGAATGGTGTGTTGTCAGAAAGTGCGCCTCACACTTTTAGAATAAGAAAAATAAGCTTGATTTTTTGTGAAACTCTCATCCAATCATTCTGAATTTCACCAAACTCAAAATGACAATGCTCTTCATCACTAGCACTAGATCACGTACTATTATAGCTGGATCCATTAAAAATATATTTGTACAGAAGAATTAGACGTAGCTTACAACATTATTGAAGCATATTTTCGAGTTGACCATTCCTATTGTTTCTATTTTGATAATATTATTGATTAACGTCATCTATTAATATTTCTAAAAATGGTCAGCATGATATTTTGTACAAATACTATTAAGATCTTCCTGATTCTAAATATATACCGGGTGTTCGGAAAGTTGCCTACTAAAACCAAAATTATATAGCTTCGTCTAAGTTTGTATTCATCAGCAAAAAGTTTATTAACCTAACTCAAAACTAAAGGGTGGTTCATAAGTTTCGACCCCTCTCTGTAAATTGACGTTATCTATATGAATACATATTTAGATAGTTAATTGAAATATACAGTTTTGTAAAGAATGAGAAGAGCTATCATCTGAAAAAAAAATGGTTGAAATTGTATTGTAGTTATGAAAAGTTATGATCATTTTATTCATGATGACTAAGCATTTAACACGTTGCGTTTTTGCAATAACAAAATATGCTTCTAACGTCTGAAGGAAAATATCGTTTTCCAGGTATTTTTATATGGTTCGATAGAGCTCGACGAGCTCTACAAGAATATGAATATCAAAAAAATTCTGATGCTGTTTCCAATACAAAACTTGAAGGAAATCAGAAAGAATAATAAAAATTTCATATCTTGCATTAGAAAGAGTATGCTGAACTTTCAATAACGTCGGCTGATCGACTGTTTCGTCTGCTCATGAAGCTCGGAAATGTTATTTTCAGCTTCGGTATGTGACGCTGCATCTCGAAACATAAATTAGCAGTCGATCAGCTAGAGTTATCGAAAGATAAACATACTCTTTAATCCAAGATATGTGAGATTTTTATTAGTCTTTCTGGTTTCCTCCAAATTTTGTATTGGAAACAGCATCAGAATTAGTTTTGATACTCATATTCTTGTAGAGCTTGTCGAACTCTATCGAATCATATGAGAATATCTAGTAAAAATCAATGTTTCACTCGACTTAAATGACTCAAACATTAAAGAATTTTTTTTTTGTTTTTGCAAAAACACAATGTGTTAAATGCTTAGTCATCATGAATAAAATCATCATAACTTTTCATAACTATGACACAATTTCAACCATTTTTTTTTCAGATGATAGCTCTTCTCATTCTCTACAAAACTGTATATTTCAATTAACTATCTAAATATGTACTCATATAGATAACGTCAATTTACAGAGAGGGGTCGAAACTTATGGACCACCCTTTACCTTTTTTGCGTAAAAAAATGTTTCATCTTCGCTGGCGACTACCATTTATGATCGGTATTATTCAAAATAAAGGACATCAATCGGTAGAAAATATATGAAAACCTATAAAAAAAATTTTAATCCATAAGTTCTTTTTGTCTCTTATTCAAGAAATCTTCTGTTCAACTTTGACTGAGCATAGGCCACTTTAACTGAACAAGTTGCAAAGTATTTTAAACCATCGACACCACTTCTATTCAGAAATCGATTAATACAGAAGAAATTTTACTCGGTTTCATCCAGGTCATAAACTTCGACCTGGCTTGTAACTCTATTTCATACGTTTCGCTTATGAAAACAAGATTTACATGTACATATTGTTTTAGATTTCCATTAAAAACACGGATATGGGATCCAGTGGGTATGGGATACGGTTGAAGAGGAGATCCACATCCTTAATAGAATATTTAGATGGTTTATCATTTGTACTTATTAAGCAGAAAAAAAGAAACTTAATAATTATTTTTTCTTTCTTGACTTGTGTATGAATTCTATTAGAATGTTAGTATTTTTTTATATACAATACTAAGAATCTCTTGTTGATTGGAATTTTCTTAAGTACTTTTCGACCATACTACTGTCAATTGATTATTTCAACCAAAAAATAATGAGACTAGTATTCAATTATTATTGGTTACGTTGTAAGCAATAATAAGAAAAATCAAACTAGCGCTATTGCTTGAAATCAATTGGTCAAGTAAATACGCGACATCTGTTTTGTTTGGAGGTTTTCCTTTATTTTCAATTGGTTATTACAATGACAAGCATAAAAAAAACAAGAAAATAAACAAGCAACAAATACTAGACCTTTCATCTATAAAAATTTTTTGTTAGAAAATTTTTTTTTTTCGTTTTTCATGATTAAAATTCAAGACTTTCGATGAAAAGAATATATTTCTTAATATACTGGACTCATTGAAATATAGAATTGAATGAATATATTTCGTTTTAAGTTAGTATTGAATGATTTCTTAAATCGATTTCTTTCAGATGTCGCAGGTGAACAATCGTGGTGTCGTGAACAAGCGGTTGCGAATATCCTCAACAGGCGCCTTTCGTCACGGTGAGAACCAGTCGTCATCGTCGTCGACAAATGTCGCTCAAACTCAATATAATCCATCAGGTTTATCAATTGATAATGAAACTGAATTATCATCTGATTTAATAAAAGAACAATTAGATCATGTTGATGATATAATAACACAACCAATAATTGAAGTTCCAACAAAACGTTTATTACATATAAAAGAACTTGGCGGAAATTTATTTGTTTCATCATCAAGAAAAATTTATTCGAAAACTTTACAAAAATTAATTGATCGGGTTTTATTTACAAAGTCATTAAATAATGATGTTAATACAGCAACATCTGATATACATGTATTTGAACGTGTACTTGCACGTACGGATGATAATGATGCATATTCAACATGTACATCATTAGCACAACCAATACCAGCAACAATACTTATACTTGGTTTAACATCATGTGAACATGCATTTGCCTGGAAATTATCACAACGACGAAATTTTAAAATATATTGTTCACCAGCTAATAGTGGAATTATAATTGATCAAACATTTGTAATTGTAACGAATATTTTAAAAAATGATAAAGATATTTTAGAATTTGTTGATACGAAACAAATTGATCTTGTTATATCATTAAATAAAACATTTTATTATGAAGATCTTGAAGCACAATTAGGTGAACGTGGTGTACATTATTTAGGTTGTTCAGTTGATACATTAGCATTAAGTGACAATTATTTAAATGCAAAACAATTTATGACAAAACATAATATACCAACATTAGATTGGATTCAGTGTTTAAAACAAGATGAAGGAGAAATTTTTCTAAATAAGTAATACAAAAAAGAATAATTTTAGGAATATTTTCGAGAGGAGAAATTTCATGTTTATGCTTTTTTGCTGTTTAGATATCCAAATCAACAACAATGGATTATTCGTTCGACTAATGGAAATCGAATAGTTAATTGTAAAACAAGAGATGAAACTCGACAAACACTTAAAGAAGTTTTTCAGGTAAAAGTTTATTTTCGTTGAAGTTAATAAGAGGAACCTATACATGTTGAATTCAAGAATTTTGAATTGACTAAAGATGAATTCTTTCAATATTTAATTCAAAACTAGGATTCATATTTAATATGACCGAGTGTAAAAATATTGAATTTTGCTCTCGTTTATTTGGATGAAATCGTGCTTTCACAATAATTGTTTCAGACAAGTTCTCTATAAATGATGACTATTGCTCAAACAATCACAAATATAGTCGCGTATCTGTCGATGATAGAATCAAACGTTTGTGTTCTATTCGAATATGAATTCGAAAGTTTTATAGGATTTCTGGTTTTGACGAACACCAACTATAGCAGCGAAAACTATTTCAAATATAGCGAATGCAAGAACAGACATTTCTTTATAAAATAGTATACTAATGATTAGCTTGTTGAAAGGTATTTATCAACAGTGAATATTTTTAGTAAGGAACACCGTGTCAACTTGGGCTATTTTTTTAATTTCTATGGAAAACACACTTGAAGGGTGATTTCGTCTATTTTTGAATGATTATTTTGAAATATAGTAAAGGAGACTATAATAGCAAAGCAAAAATTTTGAACTCATATTCCAAAATAACACAAAATTCTGATTCTAATCCAACGTTTTGAAATTTATGCAGACTCTTAAAAGAGAATGCGGATGCGTGGGAAGATCTTTTGTTTGTCATCATCACATCTTAATCGACTTTCTATGCTTCTTCAGGATCCTTAAAGACTAACATGTCATGGAATGAACTATCGTACCACTTTTTTTCGCTTACATGTTATCAGACCATGAGCTCAGATAGTCATCTGTATTATAAAAAACGAAGTCCAGATTAGATAAAAATAAAATCTTTGTTCAGGATAACTTATTTGGTGATACCAATCCATCAGCGATTGTTGAACATGGTTATTCATTAGATGATAGTCATGTCTGTACACTTTATATTGTAAGTGATGGTGATGGTGATTATACACAATTACCAGTAATAGATTCAGATCCATCACGTTTTGGTGCATATGGTCCATGTCCATATTTAACATCAAAACAATTATCATTTATTCGTCGACGTATTGTTGAACGAACATTACGATGTTCACCATCGATTCGTCATTTATTTGGTTTTCGTTTACTTATTCAAGGAACAAATTATAATCAAATTAGTTTACTTGATTATAAATCAACATTTGAAGAACCTGAAAGTGAAGTACTTTTATCTTTATTTGAACCAGATATATTTCTTCAATATGCACTTGATTTACCATCTGCACCAGTTTTACCATTAGCAAGTAAAAAACGACGTGCTTATTGTGTTAATACAACTATAACATCAAAAAAAATTCCGTTAACAATTCCAAATAAAATTTTATTAACAGCAACAAAACATAATAAAGTTAAAATATTTCATAATCAAACAGATATTATTACAGGAGGAGTAGAAACAGGTAATATTACAACAAATGGAGAAAGAATTTTTAATGTACTTGGATATGGTTCAACATTACAAGAAGCACAAATTCAATCTGTACTTGCTTGTGAATATATTAAACAACAAATGAATATTGATGATCTTTTTTTTAAAACTGATATTGGATCTCAAGCTATTGAATGGTAAGATATTTGTCTGTAAAATTCATTTATAAAAAAGCTATAGGAATTTGAATGCATTTGAATTTATTTGGAGTTCAGTAATCAGATGAGACCACCAATAGAAATACATATTTGAGTGTAAATATGACGAATCAGTTCGAATATAATTATATTAGCAGTTATGGTTGATACTTCAAGGCTAAAAAAAAACATTCTGTAATTGATAATATTTGTAAAGAAGGCGTCTACCAATCACAGTGCATAATAAATAATTAGAAAAAGACAATATTTTAATTCTTAAAGAATGGACTTTCTAAATATAAATTTTGATCTACCATACGAGTTCTTGGTAGATACATATCATACTAAAGAAATGTATAACCATCTTTATCATATATTATTATATAAGAATCAGAAAAGTTTTTTTTTCTTCTTTGAAATCTTTGATTAATAAAGAAGGGCATGGAAGTTTCTGAACAACATGTTTCTTCATTTTCGACCATGTAACATACATTTTTGAAAAGCTTTATATATAGAATATAATTTGTTCAAAGTTTCTGAATTTTTATGGAAGCTACTTTAGTAGAGTTCTCTACATGAACAATAATTCAGATCAAAATTTGATAGCTTAGTCAAATCACAATCGAAACTCAAATCCTTTTAGGGTTTTCATTAGAATACTGTTTAGTATCTATAGATGAAAAATCATTGAAATTGGAACTAGATATCTAATAGGTGTTCTATTGTCTTTTATTCGGTTGCATCAGGCGCTGAAGTTTTTTTTTCTCTATAGAGTGAACCAAGAATCGAAAGTCTCGCAACATTCCTTCATATAATAATCTAGTTGAATTTTTAAGTCTGCAAATTGAGGAATATGTATCTTTTGCTAAAACTCTTATTATTCATGGAAATGTCACAGAAAGCTAATGATTATGATATAATTTTGTTCATAAATGTTTTTCTCTGTCTTGTAGTGTATTTAAGATTCACTAATAATTTCTAACCTATACTCGAAAAGAGTACAACAGTCTACTTCTAACTCAATGCTTTAAAATTTCTTTTGACTCCTATAATCTATCGACAAATGAAGAAACATATTGTTCGAAAGCTTTTGCATCACTCCTTATTAGTTCATAAAGAGTTACAAGCAATAGTCAACAAAATGTATTATAATTTTCAAAAGAATTATCCAATATAAAACGTCTTCTCTGTGCTCATATGTCATTATATTTTCTATTAGGTATAAAGCTCATTATCAACATCCAAATTCAACAGCAAGTGGTTTAACAAATGGAAAAAAGAAGAAATTTAAAAAGAAAAAAATCATTTCAACGACACCGACTAAACCTAGTCGTGGTATTACCACACGTGGTCAAAATTTAAAAACTTCCGAACAAATTGAAGATGACAACAATGAAACAAATGATGAAGATGATGATGATGATGATGATGATAGTGAACCAATGGATTTTGAACGTGCATTTGGTTCTGTATCCGATATTCCAAAATTAGAATATATGAATATTTATGAGAATAATAAAATTACTGATGGTTTACATAATTTTGAAGGTGAATCATATTTTGATCTTTCAACTAAAATTGATCTCAAAACTTATGCACAACCAGTTCTTGTTTCATCAACGATTAATTTAAATCCATTGGCTGCTGTAAGTTTTGTATTAATAAACGAAACAAAAGAATATTCTAATGAATCTTTTTTATTTTTCATTATTAGTTATTCAATTTAAATGATAAAGATATGAATGATAGTCAAACTGTCTTTGAATATCTTGGTTATGAATCAGCTGTTCGTTGTGCTAATGATCTTAGTTATGCTCGTCTATTATATATTCAATGTTGTTCATTACCGATATCCTCATATGAACGTTCAATTCAACGATTTTATCAAGGAATTGAACAAGCATGTCAACAATTAAATTGTACATTTCTTAAAACAACATCAAATTCATCATCATTTACTGCATTATGTACAGGTGTATGTGATCGAGAATTGTTTATACTTAATAATGATAAACATAATCCAATAATAAATGAAGGTGATTTATTAATTGGACTTCGATGTAGTTCAAGTACAATAAATAGTCAAGGTTATATTCAATTAAAAGAATTGTTTCAAAAGAAAAATATTCATCTAAATGATGCATTACCTTTTCGAAATAGTGATGGCGAAGAAGAATCCTTTTTTTCATTATTATTACAAAAATCATCGATATTAACATCAACGTTAACAACTATTATTAATGAACTTATTTTAAATCGAACAATTAAAATTATACGATATTTAAAAGGTATATTGATGAATAATTGATTATTTATTTATTTATTTATTTATTTAGATATTGGTCTTGCTCGTATGATTCAATCATTACTTGATTCATCAACAGGACCATTAACTGCAGAATTAAATGGACAACAATGGCCCGTTATGCCACCAATTTTCACATGGATTTATCAAAATGTAAATAGAAGTTGATCCCATTTGAAAATACTCTGTAGGAAAGGGTGTGAGTCTATATAGTTAGATTTCCACACAACAATTATGCTTCAAAATATGAGACTACATATTCGTGCACTCATCTAAGATCATATTATTCTAAATTTTCCGAAACACAATCTAAGAGAAGTATAGGAGTGGAAATTTGGACTCCCTTCCCTCAACAGATCGTGACTGAATTTGTTGATGGACGATCACAGACCGTATACTAATAAAGTCCCACTTCAATATATGAATTACTACTTTATTGCATTTCTGAACGATTCAATAAAACAAATGTGTCTCAAAAAGATTGAGTAAAACAATCTTCCTGTGATTAAGAAGGACGACTACATCATGTTTCACATTTTAATGTCACAAGGATTGCACTAAAAACTTTTTTCGTCGAAAATTTTACCAATAATTGAGTTTTTATATAAGTTATTCATCATCATAGAATATGTCACTGACAAATTCGATACCTATTATATATAGATGCTTTTTAAAGAAAAATTTGTTGTTTTTAGAGGCAAACCACAATGAAGAATAAAAAAAAATTTTTTGCTGCACTAAAATCAATCCCGAGAAAGAGATGTACGGAATGAACTGTAGATTCAAAAAAGATGCTACTCATTGACTAAATCAATCAT